GAAATACTCGAAAATACTCGAATCCAGACCTAGGATATCCTACGTATATATATGACATTCTGCAAATATTATACGATCAAGATTAGTTGATCCTAGTGTATATGTTCGGAATGGATGTATTATAATTTTCTAACTCCGCTATTTTTACTTTATAAAAGTATAGAGTCATTTCTTTTATGTCATTCTAACCACCAAAATATTAGGAGAAAAAGCTACCCATTGTTTTTTTATTCTTCAATGTATTGCTGAAAAAATTCGTTTTTTTTATATCACATTTTTCGATATTCATCGCTTAACTTGAATCAACAAGGTGTTCTATAAATGATTGAAGAATGATATGAGATAGATCGTTTGTACGACCACTTTTCATTGTACAAGAAGACGAAAGAGTGATAAAATGTACTGTTTTATTGTGTTTTTGAACAGAAAAATGTTCATATCGTCATTTATTACTACAACTAAAACTGATTTTGTTAAATTTCTCATCAATAAATTAACGTCCAAAATTTTGTTTATTATTTTCAATGCTGAGAAATGAGAAGGAAAATATACAAACACAATTTCAATAGATTTTTCATATTCATCTTTCGTATACCTTCATTGAGGTTACATGTCATTCAATTCCGATAGGAAGGGCGTAAACTTCAGTGACGATTAGAGATCAACTGAAAATCCCCGAAAAATTTTCCTCAGAGATAATTCGCTGAATAATATATTCCCTAGAAGTGTCCATCTTACGTAGATTAAAAAAACAATAGATTATAACTATTTTTTAATTCCATCAAGCAATACAAGATATTTCTTATCAAATAATAACGATCACTTAAATATTAACGGTGTTGACATCTTCCAGGTAACATCTGAGTTTATCAGTGCACTTCATTGTCAGAACCGTGTTTTTAGACGCATTGAGAAACCTATGTGCGCAAATAAAATTGAGTGACGTTTTTTATCTGATAGACAACTTTTATTTTTAATAAATTATGTAGAACTAATAGAGAAATACAAAATTAATTTTATCTAATTGAAGAGTGATTAGCTCAAAGAATATGAATGACATGTTAACTGACAAAAAAGATTCATATGTTGACTGACAAAAAAATTAAATGTTAACTGACAAAGAAGAACAAATTTCAACTGACAAGAAAAAGATACATATGTTGATTGACAAAAAAGAGAATTAAAATTAATTGACAAAAAAGAAGAACTAATGTCAACTGACCAAAATCATTTTTTTTAGCCAACATATTTCAGTAGGGAAGGGTACCATGTAAAATGACAACATGCATATCTATAAAAAAAAAACAGAATTGTATGATGTTCAAATGAAACTATAATATTTTGGACTTACGTTCTAAGTGCTGGAGCTCCTGGGTTACCTTGCCAAGTTCCAGAAACAAAAAAAAAGTACTGTTTAACAATTGTGTATATAATAGAGGTTGAAGAATGCTATTACAACCAGCTAACATTAATCGATAAGTATTTAATTGCGCCGTAAGTTCATCCTTTTTTTGTTTCACTTGGAGTAACTAAAAAAACAAATAAGTTACTTAAGATAATTGGAAGATTTGAAAATTATCTAGTATTAACATTAATAGACAATAGCTACATACTTTCTCTCTCATCGGAAATATGGCCATCGAGCGTTTTAATTTATCTAGATCATTCACATTCCTATTTATATCGTGTAAACTTTTTTCTTAGACTAATTATTCTCTATCCGTCAATATAAACGGACGGTAAGATTGCTCATGGCTAATTGTTAACAAAAAAAAATGGAATTATTTTTGCTCACTATATTTCGTCGTACATGACCGCCTTTTGATTGAAAATTCATAAATGAAGAATACAATGATGGAAAGAGTGACATTCGTCGTCTGATCTGAATGTTCGATGAAATATATATGATAATGCCATACATACATCACTTTTTATTCGAACGTGGTGTGTTATAATTTTCCCCACCCCTATATGTTTTTCTTTTTTTTTTCTTTTTTCTTTTATTCTTCTTGCACATGTTACTATAGATTGCTTTGGTATATAGACTTAGAAGAAGCAAAACAAAAATTATTCTTCTTACAACTCTGCAATCTATTTTCTACTGTTGAAAAGGTGATGTTGAAGTATCTTCAATAAGTCTATCGATTTGTTTGATATTATTTGTTTTGTATACGATAAAGAGATAGATGAAGATGAGGAGCTGAATAATATGAACTAAGTGAACCAGTTGTTTTTGATATTGATGATAATCGTAGAAATAAAATTGGTGATGGTAATTGTGATGATCGAAATATAAGTGGAGATGGTGAACATTGTCTTACAGCTGTTTGAAAATGTATATTTAATTGTGAAAAAGATGATATTGATGGTGAAATATAAAGCGATCGAGCAGGTTCTATTGTTGGTGCACCACGTCATATAGATGATTGTCTTGAATAACAATGGTGTATATAATTCAATAAGTTTATCTGTTAATAGTGAATTACGTTTAATTGCATATTATATTTGATAACTTCGCGAACTTTTACATCGTTTTGAAGAAATAGTTAATGAATCATTTATTCCATCATATTCACTTTCAAAATAAGTTGAACCAGGAAATATTTGAGAGAAATAAGACGATGTTGACATACGTTGATGTCATCGAGAATTATTTGAAGAATTTCTTGATGATAAATCATTTCCATAATTAGTTTGAGATATGAATTGACGAATAAGTTTTAGACGCCATGGAATAAAACAATATGGATGACTAGCTAGACCAGTATAAAAAACGAAGAGATTGAAGAAATCGTGTGGACATGTAAGACTTATCAATGATCATATGAGATAAACTATTATAGACTTTAATAAATATAATAAAGAAGAAAATATACAAGGACCTAATATAATAGTAATTGACAGTGTTAAATGTAATAAAGTTTTGCATAATTGTTTAAGAGAATACGTTGTTCGATTTTGATGTTCAAAGAAAAGTGTTGGTGCTAATTTGTAACTAAAATTTAAAAAAAAATCTTATTTACATATACATCTGTTCGACATATCTGAAGTTGATTAGCATTTATCAACCTAGGATTTATCTGAATCAGGTCGCTTATTGTGCTAATATTGATGTATGACTTTGATGTTGAATGAAAATTAAAGCCCGGCAGTTCCAAAAAGAAATGGAACTGAAACTGTGAAATCTTAAATCAAAGAGGTTTATCTATGATTAAACTTGTAGTAAACTCTGCGTGCATTTCTTATGGTTAAATAGAAAAAAAAAGGTAAGGAACAGTCAAAAGATTGATGAAGTAGTTTCTAAGTAGGCCCTGTGTATGACATCGGCTCAAAGAGATTTTTCATTCATTACATTATATAGAAATCGAAATTACATAAAAGAAGAATCTCTCGCAACTAGAGTGCTGAGAATCCATTTGAAGTTAAATCTGAACAAGGGCTCGAACTCGAATCCGACAAAAAGTAAAAACTTTGGATTCACAGTTTCCTACTGGCAATTCACTTTACCGATCAGTGAGATAATTCCTTTATAAACAAATGTACCTAATCGAATAAAGTACTGAATATTGTGAACAAATAATAAGTACTATAGTAAAATAAGACATATTTTCAATTGTTAATTAATAATTAAATAATGTTAATCTTGTAATACAATTAACTAGATAAAATAATGTTGTTAATGTAACAAATATTTCAAGAACACCTGTAAATAATACTAAAAAAAATTAATATAATAATAAATTTAATTTCGGTTAAAACATAGTTTTCTTACTCTAATTATTTCATAATTGTATATGTTGAAAATACTTCATTTGACCACCAAAATGACATATATGGAAATATTCTTGAATAAATTTTCCTATAAAAAATGTTTTTAAATTTTCATTTAATAATTCTTATTCATGATAATTATTTATATCACTTAATATATTCCATTTATAATTTATTGTTTGAAATAAATATTGAGGATATTATGCATCATTTATAAAACGAAGACCGTTTTTAATTAAAAATAAATCATTTGATGTATAAGAATTAAGACACAAAAACACATTCATAGATATTTGATGTTTTATTTGAAGAACATATTCAAATACAATCAATTGATTCAGTATAATAATTAGCAATAATTGAAGAAAATATCTTGAACAGGATTTGATATCACAACAGAACCATCTGATGCACTATAGACAATAATTGTTGCTAGAAAAAAAATTTCTTATATACGAACTACCTGTAGGTACATTGATAGCAGTAACAGATGATGTATGTAGGTGTAATTTAAGTATCATTTGACCATGAAGAACATTAAAAATACTGGATGTATCATCATTATATCCAGCAACAATTGATCCAATAGTTATTCAAATATTTTTTTACTGGACTTGTTATACCAATTGAATCTTTTTTAGGAACAATAGAATTATCATATAATATTAAATAAGTTACTTTCTAAACAATTCAAATAAATAAACAATATTTTATATCATAAATATTTTTTACTAATTTATTTGCGTTAAAACAAAGAATTTCATTTCTATATTCTAATTGAAAATTTTTATTCTAGCATCTAAATATTTGTTACTAAATGCGTATCTTCAATAGATATAACTAGAGATCTGCGGGACAAACTTTTTCGTGTCCCTTCCCGAAATTTTTCGAACTATCTCGTAAAATCCCGTTTGTCCCGTTAACTAGCAGGAATATAGAAAGATTATTTTGTGAAAGAAGGATACGTCTTTTCTATACTACCAATAGATAACATGGATCCATATAGATAATTATTAGATGAACTAGCTATCTTTTTATTTATATAGTCTGCAATACAATATCGATCAAGGAATACCTGTGAATCTAGATGAAATTATTAATTTACTACTTATCAAATGAAATATTGAAACATTAATGAAGATTTAGTTGCTTGCAGCCGAAGTGTAAGAAAAAGAAGTTATTTTTGGATATAACTGTAGTTTAAGCACACTCTCATCCTCATTCACACGCTAATTGATGCGCAGAATATGCTAATTAAACCAGACGATGTGCTTAAAGTTAGTAGTAGTGTAAGAACTGATGAAAACAAATGAAAATTATCAACTTTGAAAGCATCCGGAAATAGTTTTTCTTTTGTTTTTCTATTATGTTATTTATTTAAATATTAAAGTATTTATTAGAAATAATTGAGAACTACCCGTTTTACGACCGTCGTCATGTCAATCGATTAAAAGTCAAATAAACTAATTTTAATCAACTGATAATAGTCTCATTTTAATCGATTTTCAGTTAGAAGAAAGTCGATTACAATCGGATTCTCCTTACCTGGGAAATATTTCTTACAAAAAATAAATAAATAAAGTTCGGGTCGGGTGGCTCGTTTCGAGGCCTGTTATGCGCTGCGTTCAATACCATGCTAGCAAAATTCTTATTTGTTTTAGAAATAACTATTTCAATTGATAGATAATTGTCATCATTTGTTTCCTGTGTTTATCTTGTATATCGTTTGATGTTGCAACATATAAATTGACAAAGTTTGATTCATGCATAGTCGTTAGATTCAAAAGTTTACTTTTCTCGTTGGATGATTCATAAGGATGTCGTATGAAATTTGTTCAATACTTATAATTAAGAGCGGACTCATGAAATTATCGAACAACACGCTATAGACTGAGGCATTTGTCAAAATTTACTTTTCTGATTTGACATGTGCATCTGAATCAGTTATGTCGAAAACTTTTACACTCAAATTGTTAGAGCATTTAACTGAGTTGGTGAAATGTTAGCCTCATCCGGCTGTTCAGCAACTCACAAATTTTGATTTCAAAAAGTTGATCCATCTAGTCAGAAAAAGGTTGAGTGAAGAACAGTTATTCGCAAACTATATTACATCTACTGCTTCAGTTTTTCTTCAAAGTACAATATTAAGAACTATCCATTTTTTGTACCTAAAAATCCGTAAATTTTGGCAGTGTATCGACTAGCATTCAGTCACCTTGATACCTACCAAGCTGATTTTCACATATGTTGTGTAACTTTTTTTTCTTTTCAAAAAAAAGATAAAACAAGCTTCGGAAAAAAATTTTATTCCTTGAGATGAAAAATGATTTACATCGTATACTCACAAGCCGATGTCGATAGAGAAGATGTGAGTATGAATTTATATTGAACGAAAGACTCATCTCATATCTACACCCTTGCAGAGGTTCGTTGCGAAAAAGTACACAACAGAGATATCTCTTAATAGCCTGTGAAAATGGTGTATAATTATTCTGATTTTCTTTATGGTTGTGATTAACAATTATATTTAGCGATCTCTCAGTCAATATATCTAGTTAATTACCAAGATATCTAACTTTGTGCATTTTTATTTAGCTTTCAATAGTGATTTCTATTGAATCTATTTAAATCTATTCGGAAATATCAGATAGGATGTGGATGTGAGTGTGAGTATTCAATCCATACACAGACACACTCATAACCTGACCCACACCCTTTTTTTATAACTCCTAGAAGTTTATCGTTCTTTGTTACATCGGTTTGTGATACATCAAAACATTTTCGATAGTGTTATTCTTATGAATATAACTTATAAAATCTCATTTATCAGTGTGGACATCCTATATAGAATCACGGAACAGTTTATTTCATAGCTCTTAATGATTTTTTTAGACATAGAAGAAGCTGAAAATTTAGTAGATAGTTTTCAGGCAACAGTTCAAGATTTTTGCAGACGCGAAGTGAAAAAGCTGGTGATGGATTCTCTCTCTTATTGGAGATCATGTTTTGATTTCTAATGATTAAATATTTACATATTGAGTCAAACGCTGATAAAAATATAATTCAAAAACAAGATGTCTGAAGTGAATTTTTTCTTCAAAATATATATATATATGTATAAAGAATATCTTTATTTATATATGTTATTACATAACAACGACAACCAAAAAAAGAAAAAGAAATTTTCATTCAAATAAAATTATTTTATATATAATTTTGAAATGAAAATTGTTGTAGAAATAAATCTTTTTCAGTCATAAATTTAACTGCTATTGTTTCTAAATGATTAATAAAATTTGAATTATGTGCCATTTCAAGATTATGTGCAAGTTCATGACATGTTAATATAAAATAAAAATTAACAATAGTATGTATTATTGGTATTGATGGTGATGTTACTTGTAAATATGGTTGAACTTTATCAGCAAAAACTTGTTCATAATAACGAAGATTATAAAATAATGCACGACGATCATTAAATGCAATTCGAGCTAAAAAGATAAAAATAATAAAATTCAATGATTCAATTTAAAGTTTTTACTACCTCCATCAATATCTCGATAAAGATGTAATGTTTCAATAGGTATTTTAAAAACATGATTAGCAAGTCCTATTAAAACCCATGCTAATTGTTTAGCTTGATCGAGCATTTTATTTGTAATAAGAACATTTCGTTCAATATATAATGGTATTGAATGAAATAAATCTTTATAACGTGTCATATTAGCTGATGGTACAGCTTCACATGAATGATCAATATCATCTTTAACATGTTCTTGTTGAATAAATTTTGTTTGTGTATATGCACGACCTTTTTTTAACATTGAAAATAATTTTGCATCATCTTTAGTTTGTTGTCGATTAAAATCTTCTATACGACCAGTCATTTCAACATAACTTTCATGATAATGATTATTATCATTATGATTAAAATCAGATTTTTGTTGAAACATTTGAATTGTTGAACGAATATTTTGTTGATTATGTTGTAATAAACGATCAACAGGTACACCACGACGTTTAAGTGTTTCTAATGGTGATGCAAGTTTATCACTTATTGTATGAACAATTGTATCAAGTGGTTTTTTAAATACAAATCGTGCTAATTCACTTGCAATATCAATATAATCAAATTCACGTATATGTTTTTGAAAATATAATGAAACGTTATTTTTATCATATTCAAGTGCACATGAACTACTATCAGTTGACTAGAATGAAAAAAGAAAATGAAAATGAAAAAGAATAATAATAATAATAATTTACATCAAGTGTAATTGTCTTTTTTTGAAATGTTAATTGACATTGAATACCATCAACTTCATAAACAGATAAATTTGTTCGTAACATATCAACATGTTTTCCATCAAGATTTTCCATTTTTTCACCCTAGAAAAAATAAAAAAAATTCTAAAATTTTAAAGTTTGATTCAAAAGAAAATATTTTACTCGATTATTAACAAATAACATATCAAGACGATATTGAATTAAATCACGTAATTTATTACCTCGATCTGATGTAGCAATTTTTCCTATAAACAATAAAATTCAATTTGATTAATGATATTTGTTTTTTGTTTTATTACCTTTATGTACTAAAGTTCTTTTTACACATTCTGATAACCATGAAGCACCAAATTTTTCATATAATTTTGTTAATTCAGGTTCATCCGGTGGTAATAATGGTCGAAGATCAATAGCACATTGATGATCATCATCAAGATAAATTTCATTTGGTGGTACAATTTTAAATAAACGTTGTTTTTCATTATTTGAACGTTTTTCAATAACTTGATAACCTAAACACCAAGATTCATTTTTTAATCTTTTTATTAATGATGTTGATTGTAATTCATTTGTTGTATTAGCTGCAATAGCAAGTTGTCGAAGACAACTTGTATATGCAAGTAATTTTCGTTGTAAATCATCTGGATTATTTGAATTTAAATTTTTAAAATAATTTTCTTGTCGATCAATTAATAATTCAGCTAAAATATTTGCAGATGGATGATGAAGTACACCAATACCAAGAAGAAAAGAATTTCCTTCAAAACCATAATCAATATAATCAATTAAACCACTTTTATCTGTATCATCCATAATTAATGGAGTTGATGATGATGATATTGTTTTAGTTTTTTTATTTTTTGGTGTTGTTTTAACATTTCGTTTACGACGGCGACGACGACTACTACCATTGGCTTGTGTTATTTCATCATCATCATCATCATCATTTTCAGATGATGTTGGAAGAATAACATGTATTTGTCGTAATCTTGATGATGATTCTATTGTTGAATTATCAGGATGAATAAAAACTTGTGATGGTTTCATAAAATAATTATTTCCTTCAAGAGGAATAAAAGCAAGCTTTGATATACGTTCAATTAATGGTCGACTTAAACCATCGAGTTGATTCATATAAGCAAAAATTTTTGGTGCAGTTTCTACATTAAGTATTTCTTCTTTTTTTTCCATTAGAATATCAAATGCTACTGTTAATGTTGGACGATCTTTAACACCAAGTAATGATATATTAAAATGTTCTTCAAATAATTCAATAACATTGGATAAAAGTGTTGCACATAATGGACTTTCATCTAATACGAAAAAAAAAAAAATATGATAAATAGAACAAAAAAACAAAAAGAAAACAAACCTTTAAAAACTTCTTCGGGTAATGATAATATAATAGTTTTTGATGGTGAAAGTGATGGAAGAAAAGGTCGTTTAATTTTTGCTGTTTTCCATAATTTTGAATAATGTTGTTGAAAATTTTCAGCTAAAAATTTAAGTCCTATTGGTAATTTATATTCATTAATTGATTTTTTCTTTTGTTCATTATGTTCTTCAATAATTCGATCAATTAATTTTTGTAAATCAGGTACTTCACGTACACCAATTTCTTTTAGAAATGCATATTCACGTGAATGTAAATCAATATCATGCCAATCAATTATTGGT